CACACACACACACACACACACACACGCACACACACAAGCACTAAGAGCATTAAACTAAATCCCTTCTCTAACACCCCATACTTCTTTTCTAGCAAAGTAAAGAAGGCATTTGCTCTAGTAACTAAGATACTTAATAATTTCTCTGTCCAAAATAACGCTTCATCTTCTATTTTAAATATAAAAGACTGACCTGCCAGAATAACATTTAACCTCTCCTGGGGTTTCCTCCAGGAGGTGAAAGGAGAAAACGAAAACAAAAACAAAACAACTTCTCAATACCCTCCAAACATTTAATTGTCTTTCATCTTTCAATTTCCCATTGAGATTATCAGGAAAAGCATGGTAAACAGAAATTTATTTTCCAGAACCCTGAGAGCCGCTGCGGATCTTTGGAGGGCACCGAGTTGCACAAACCGGTGCTGTTTTTGCTTTGATACAAGTACCCTGCGGCAAGGAAACAGGCGCTTAGTTTAAAACTGAGGTCGATACCCACGCCAGGCCACGGGGCCGAGCCTCAGCGATTCACACTTTTCTGGGCACGAGAAGGCTACTTTCCGAAGAAGTATTTAGAACTTGGGAAAATCCTTGTACCGGAAGAAAATGGCCTAAACACAATAGGACTCGCCATTTTCTCCTTGTGAAGCACAAAGCGCTCGGCGCTGCCCGCCACACAAAGAAAGCGTGGGCCCGCGGCATTCTTGCACATTTTCAAGAGGCCAAAAAAATACCTTCCCAGAACCACAATTTCTCCCTCCTGGGCGCTCTGAAACACACACTCTGTCTCCTACCCGCACTCAGCCCTCGTCACAAAAGCCTTTCTTTGAGCAGTAGATAAAAGACTCACCGAATGTGCAACGCCAGCGAGCCAGCTAACCCCGGCAAAACTAAGTCCCGCAAACCAAGGGGGCCCGGCCGGCGGCTACCCGGGGCTCCATCCTCGGCCGGGAGGGACTCAGATCCCTCTCCCTCCTCCTCAGAAACCTCCTTCCAATTCCATCCCGTCTCCCATGCGTGCCTGGTCGCCCGGGAACTTAGGGATCTCTGTGACCTGATTTCCATCGAGTGCCAAGAACCAACCTTGCAACTCGGAGCTGAGCTGGCGGCTCTCAAGGATGCTCGCGACGCTGGAACCCCTCGACTCGGCGCCTCCCGCCGTCCCCC